GGTACTAACTATTCCCCTTTTGATATTGTCTATGGTTTTAATCCTTTAACTCCATTAGATTTGATGCCTCTTCCTATTGANTGGTAACTATTCGTACTCTTTCTACTTTATTGCGTGCTATCATTGGTAAGAATTTAAAAACTTGGGAGGATTTTTTTGCCTCATGTCGAATTTGCTTATAATCGTAGTGTGCATTATGGTACTAACTATTCCCCTTTTGATATTGTCTATGGTTTTAATCCTTTAACTCCATTAAGTGTGTTTATTTAGATGGAGAATGAAAGGCTGAATTGGTGAAACAAATGCATGAGAAACCAAACAGCAGCAAGAAACCTTACTTGGATAGATTATATGCGCACAATACAAAGATAACCAACCTGATTTGACAAAAACAAGACCCGAGTGCTCTGATACCAACTTATGCGAACCCATAAACGAATTCAAGAACCCGCGGGAAAATTTATTGGAGACCCCCCAAGAGAGTTCNGCTCTGATACCAACTTATGCGAACCCATAAACGAATTCAAGAACCCGCGGGAAAATTGATTGGAGACCCCCCAAGAGAGTTCACCCTAGACCCAATGTTTGCCAGAAACAAGAACCCAAGGTTAAAAGTTCAAGAGAAAAATGCCACACTCCAGATTGACCGATAAGTCGATGAACGCCAAAAAGAAAGATTAATTCTTGATAAGTTCTCGAAATAGTTCTTGGAAGAACAGTAAGGTAGAAACCTCACAATACTCATAAAAATATTCTGTCTTTTACAATGCTTTGAACGCCTATTTGTAGGCTGGTTATTACAAAGAAAACTTCCTAAATTAGCTTATCCTATTTAAGAAATATCTCTTACTTGCTGGTAAGGAAATAGCTTGTCGGTAAAGCCCTTCTTTCCTAAAAAGAATAACTCACACGCCTAAATAGATAAGGAAAGTCTTACAATCAAACCAATTTTGAACATGCCAATTTCAAGATTAGCCTTTGCTGGAATCTTCTAGAACTTGAATCATATTGATGGATCTTCGTTGCCCACGTGGATCATGCTCCATGCTTGACCATGCACAATCAGCCCATATGTCTTGAATCAGCCCGTTCAATGCTTCCTTCATCCTTTTTGCTCTTGCTTGAGTCATAGGGCTTCCATTTATACTCAACAGATCAAATTGCATTGTATCATATACCAAGGTTCTTTTTTGTCTTAAACAACGGGTCGTGGTCTATCCTTCAAATCTGATCGTAGATTAATCTTGGTGCGGTTCACATCATTTGGTATCAAAGCAAAGGTTCTAGTTCAGGTTTGTCTATCTTTTAAAAGAAAAAAAAAACCTTTCTTTTCTTTATTCTATGATCTTTACTTCCAAATTTGGTTCATAGTTTAGCCAAATTTCCTTTTCCCCATTTCGCTCGTATTTTGTTGGTTCTAGTTTATTGCAAATTTTTATTGTTCTAGGGTTTTGAGTTATTGTTAGAGTTATGTCAATTGTTTATTATGTAATTCGTGATCAAATCAGCTGCTGAAAAAACGTTTGCTATCAAATCAGTTGGTGAAAAAAAAAAATTCATCCAAAAAAAAAAAGGCCCAACAAAGGAGCAGAAAAAAAGATAAAATTCAAAAATATTTTTTTTTGAGGCTTCTCTTCAAAGGGGCTGCATCTATCATTATAGTTGGTATCTTGTCTTATAAGTACTCTTTCATCGTATAATTTTCTTGATTCTCATGTTGTTTTGTTCCTTCCGTGTTTCTCTTGTTCTTGTTCGCATTTTTTTCCTTCCATGTTTCTCTTGTTATGTTCTTGTTTCTTGGGCCTAATTACTAATAGTTGGGATTAAACAAGGTTGCATTGTTTTGACTGAGTTCAATTATTTCTTGAAGAACTTGAGTGGGAAAAATCTTGAGGTAAAATTCTTGAGTTTGGATTCACATGCGCAAAGAAAGATTCCCAGTGCATAGGAGGACTAAGTTGCATCCTCGTGGAGATGGACCTTTGCAAATTCTTGAGAGGATTAATGACAATGCATATAAAGTGGATCTTCTCAGTAAGTATAATGTTTCTGCTACCTTCAATGTTTCTGATCTTTCTCCTTTTGATGTCGGTGAAGCTTCGAGGTCAAATCCTTTTGAGGAGAGGGGGAATGATGGGAACCAAGGTGGGCCTACTATGAAAGATCATTTGCAAGTTCTAGATGGGCCAATTACATGAGCATGAGCAATGAAGTTTCAAGATGTACTCAACGGACTAATTCAAGAGGCATGGACTCAAGCAAGTTCGTGGAGGCCCATTGAGTGTGGTCCACATGAGCAACAAAGATTCATCATTATGATTCAAGTTCTAGAAGAATCGGGCCATTACTTAGCTTAAATTGGCATGTATAAGAATACTTTTTATTTTGGGCCTGATTGTAAGGCTTGCATGTCATTTACTTTCCTTTTTCTATTTTAGGCATGTAAGGGTTTTAGTCTTTAGTTATTCCTATTTGGGTTTGGATTGACAAAATATAAACTCCTATTATGATTTTTTTCCTTAGTAGATTCGGATTTGTTTCCTTAGCAGATTAGGAATTTGTTTCCTTAGTAGATTAGGATTTGTTTCCTTAGTAGATTAGGAATTCTCCTTGAAATGTCCAGCCTATAAATAGGCGTTCAATCACTGAAAATGAGTATATCATTATTTAGTAAAATTTGAGAGTGTTTTCTCTACGGTTCTTTGAAGAACTAAATGCACTTATTGGGATTTTCTGTGGCGTTCACCAGCGACTTATCAAACAGGTTTCCACCACCCTTTGTGGTGCCTTCCTCATACCAAGGTTCTTGCTTCACAACAAACAACGGGTTGAGGTCATATATAGCAAGGTTCTTGTTTGTCATAAACAACGGGTCGAGGTCTATCATTCAAAACTAATTGTAGAACGACCTTGGATTCCGTTTCATAGTTGGATCTTGTTTTGTTTGGCAGGGTTCACATCATTTATTGACAATCCTTGTTGGAGGGAACTTACATTTACTCAAGAAACATTTTTTTTTCTAAATTTGTTCAATAATCTCATTATGCCTGTTTTTGTTAGAGTGCATTTGGGTAGTTGATTGACTTTGTCTTGAAACGCAATATGCTCTCCCATGCTTATTTAGAAATGATCTTAGCCCATCTTTAACTTACTTTGAGCCTTAGCTTTTTTCTTGTGAAAATTTATCCCGAGGTCCATGATTGAGCCTTAAATGAAAATTTCGTTTCCAATGCCACACAATTGACCAAGCCAGTGCAAAAAGATAAAAATTTACCACACCTTGGTTGTTCCGAGAATTGATTGTGATATNCACACAATTGACCAAGCCAGTGCAAAAAGATAAAAATTTACCACACCTTGGTTGTTCTGAGAATTGATTGTGATATATCATAAAAGGGAAGAAAATGTGGAGAGGAAATCCAAAAAGGGATAAATGATTATTGAATTCAAAATGTTGAATGGAAAAGATAGAAAAAAATCCAATAAAAGGAGAATAAGGGGTGGAAGAAGAAAAAGAAAAGGAAAAGGAGGGAAAAGAAACAACAAGCAGTGAGCTAAAGGTGATAAGCAGAAAATTTCACAAAAAGGGGAAATTGTTGACAATAAAGGTCATGCCTCGGAATAACCCTCTTTACTTCATTTCATTTGCCTCAATATCACCCCAAGACCCCATTATAACCCTTGAAAGTCCTAAATGATCTAGAGAAAGCATGGGGAAGACACATTTTTAAAGAAAAAAAAAAGTAAATTTTGCTATCTAGTGTCCTAACATTCCTTTTCATGAGATTATGTCAAGGTTGTTTCATTTTTATGAATGTGCTTCATTTTTGGATTATATGTGAGCATACATCTGTTTGTGCATACGATTCTATCTCACATATAACACATAGAGGGCATGCCAAGATAATCATAATGTGATTCATTCTTGAGAGAAAATCTTGGTGAGTTTTGCATCGAAACTGAATTTGGATAGCCAAGTGAATGTGAATTGTGTCGGATAGATGTTTAAATTACATGTTCACTCCACACACACACACAAGTTTGAAAATGAATATGCAGGTTCATACTCTAGAATAGCATATATGCATGCTTAGTTCGAGTATTTGAACAATGTCGTCATGTAGCCCTATGCTTGTGGGATGGGGGAATATTGCTCAAACTTTTGATATTTGGGAGGAATTAGGAATGGCTTTACTATTTGAATCTTTGCTTTACAATTTAGGTATTCATTTTGGTAGTTAGATTGAGAAATTCATGTCATATGTTTATGAAAGCATCAAATTTTCAAATCATATTGCAATTTCGGGACATGGTCACTCAATCGTGGTTCACAAACGTAGTTCAGGTTTTTGGTGGAGTAGAGGTCGTAAATAGATTGTTTGAATGTTTAGAGAGTGAGTGAAATTGGACTGGAAATGAAAATAGGTGCACATGGATTTTTTGAAATCTAGTTAAAACCTACCAGCAGGTTTCTGTAAAAATTTACTGGTAGGAATTTCCAATGCATAAAACCTATCGATAGATTTTGCGTTGTTCTACCGGTAGGTTTTGCCTAGAAAGCTGAAAATCGAGGGTTTAAGTTCATTTTTACGGAGACACTGTTCATTTCCTCTATAGTTCTCGACCTCCCAAGCATTCCTCTCACTCTAATCTCCTACCTGCTTCAAAGACCCCTCACCCATCATCAAAATCTTCCATATTTCATCACCAGGAGCGATTATTGCTTGGATTTCACTACAATTCATTGAATCTATTACAAAACCTTAGCTTCCCCATCTTTTTCCCCAAATTCCATTTGACTCTGGTCTTCTCCAAAAGCTTGAAATATTTTGAAATGGCTCGCATAAGTAAGCTCTCTTTGACTTTTTCGATCCCTTTGAGCTACTTTAGATGTGGGTTTTGGTCTTCGTGGTGTTTGGGGCACTGTTGATACTCTTGGCCCGTATGAAACAAACGGGAAAGAGTCCCCCACAACCCGTGGGCACTAATTCCCGCAAGAGGAGCAGAGGAGGGTCCTAATGGAGAGAGTGGGGAGAGAAGGAAAAAGCAACATAATGATGCTCACACGAAGAGCAAAGATGAGAAGAGTGTGACGTGTGAGCGTTACGTAGACACAAAGAAGAACCAAACTATGGAGAAGCTCGCCATCCTCCACGCATTTATGACTAGGCAGAGAGTGGATGTGATTTTATTGATCTAAGAGTTCATGAAGGAATTCACTCAAGCTAGAAAGCTGAAGGTGAATCTCCCATTTGCCAATCTAGTTAGGAGGATGTGCCATCACAGTAAGGTCAAGGCTTAAGTCTCCGATGTGTTACCACCTCCTGAATTTGGAGCTATCGGGAAATCCAGTAGCAGTAAGAGGACAGCGATGAATAGGAGCGAGAAAGCTAGAGCCCCTAGCCTTAAGCCATCTACTAATGGGCCTTCCACCTCTACCCCTCCCCACACAGTTGTGCAGCGCTTAGATGCCTTGGAGGGGACTATGCATGGGCTTTTATTGATGATGACCAAGATTTTTTAGCACACCTTCCTGGGAGTGCCGATCCCTGGTGGACCTCTGCCTCCTTCTGCTTGACCCTCTACCTCTGTCCCCATGGTTTCTACTGTTGTCGAGGTAGAGGGTTTCGACGACGACGACTCTAGTGATGAGGAGGAGAGTGAGTATGAGAGATACGTGGNCCCTCTACCTCTGTCCCCATGGTTTCTACTGTTGTCGAGGTAGAGGGTTTCGACGACAACGACTCTAGTGATGAGGAGGAGAGTGAGTATGAGAGATACGTGGATGATGCTGGAGATGAGGATGATAAGTAGGATGTTTTGTCTTTGTTTTTTGTGGTTTTAGTTGTTGCACATATAGGATTAGAATTTTCGGCCTAGTAGAAGAGTCTTTAGGATTTTTATGCCGTTTTGTTTTGAATTCTAAATCCTTGTACTGAAATTTTTGAAGTAAAGTAAGGTATTTAGTTTGACTAGGTTGAGTGTAGACATGGTTATGAGCTCTTTATACACCATAGACTTGTCACAGGGTATGCTTGAGCCTACACCTCCACATTACTCCCTCACTTCCTACGTATCAATCAAGTACTGAGACACCATTGGTAGAATGTTTTGCGTTGATTTGGCATTCCCATTGGATTGACCGCTTCGGATTAGCTAACCTTGTTTTCATTGCATTTTTATCAAAAACTCCACTCACCAAAACGCACAATTACAAGATTACAAAATCACCTTCACCACAATTCAACCTTTCTTATTTGAGGAGACAACCTTGGAATACCCATTCTAAGTAAAACACAAGATTGCAAGTCCCTCTACGCTTGAGGAGCACTTTTGCACACAAACACACACACGTTTTTGTTCACATAAACAATTTTTNATTTTTATCAAAAACTCCACTCACCAAAACGCACAATTACAAGATTACAAAATCACCTTCACCACAATTCAACCTTCCTTATTTGAGGAGACGACCTTGGAATACCCATTCTAAGTAAAACACAAGATTGCAAGTCTCTCTACGCTTGAGGAGCACTTTTGCACACAAACACACACACGTTTTTGTTCACATAAACAATTTTTCCCATTTCTTGCATCGAACACGAGAGATAGTGACACTCACCTACTTGTATAAGCCATATACGCACAATTGGGTTCGTGTTTGGAGATTAGGTTGAACATAAATCAAGCTTTTTTGGTGCTATTGCCGGGGAAGGCTAAGCGTTGAATTAGAAGNACATAAACAATTTTCCCCATTTCTTGCATCGAACACGAGAGATAGTGACACTCACCTACTTGTATAAGCCATATACGCACAATTGGGTTCGTGTTTGGAGATTAGGGTGAACATAAATCAAGCTTTTTTTGTGCTGTTGCCGGGGAAGGCTAAGAGTTGAATTAGAATATGATTTCGGACAACGGAGGTAAGTCCCATGATTCTCATCACGGGGCGAGGTACCTTGTATATATTTTGTGTTTATTTTTTCTTTTCAATTGTAGTTAGTGTTTTTACATGGTAGGACGGGACTATCAAAATTGATTATTGAGACGAACCCAAGGACCAAACATGAACCTAGACCAAGACCCACCTGAGGATGCCGGTGACAATTTTGGGGATTTAGGTGCCAATGTCCCAAGGGGTGGGGGGAATGCAACACCCTTTAATACGAAACCCTTGAATGCAATTCCCCCCTAAATATGAAGGAAACAATGTCCCAATTGATCCTCTGGTGAGGTCAATGCGGGATTATCTCCAACCCCCTTGGAGCACTACTTTCTCATGCATACTTCTACTAGTCTAAGTTCATGTATTCCTTGTCAAACTGGGAATGTTACAACACAGATAATCCTTATTTCCACATTAAGANATGCAATTCCCCCCTAAATATGAAGGAAACAATGTCCCAATTGATCCTCTGGTGAGGTCAATGCGGGATTATCTCCAACCCCCTTGGAGCACTACTTTCTCATGCATACTTCTACTGGTCTAAGTTCATGTATTCCTTGTCAAATTGGGAATGTTACAACAGAGATAATCCTTATTTCCACATTAAGGNAAGAATCCAGCTAGGGGCTAAGGCTAAGCTTAAATTGGCTTCTTGTTGTTAAGGCCTCCAATTTGTCTAAAGGATTATAATTATTAATAAGTGGGCTTGAGGATGCTTAGTCCACATGTTTTATTTCTCATGAACTAGGGTTTTCGTAGTTATTGTAGCGCTGCACTGTTCACGCTACAGTAACTGTGCACTATTCACTCTTTTTAGGGTCTATTTGTAAGGCTTGTATGCCAAGTACTTTCTTTTTTTATTTAGGCATGTGATCAGCCATTTAAAGGGCTAAATGTCTTTCTTTTCTTTCTTCAAGAGTCTTAGGAAAGTTAGAGATATTTCTTTACCCACAAGTAATAGATATTTCTTAAATAGGATAGCTATTTTAGGAAGATTCCTAATCCTTGTAATGACCAGCCTATAAATAGGCATTCAAATCAATGAAAATGCAGATCATTATTCAGCAAATTTTGAGAGTATTTTCTCTTCGGTTCTTTGAAGAACTAAACGAACTTATCAAAATTCTTCGTGGCGTTCACCAACGACTTATCAAACGGGTTTCCACACCATTTGTGGCGTCTTCCCTTATACCGAGGTTATTGTTTCACAAACAGCGGGTTGAGGTGTAAATACCAAGGTTCTTGTTTGTCGTAAACAACGAGTCATGGTCTATCGTAAAATCTGATCATAAAATGATCTTGGGTTCTTTTCATTGTTGGATCTCGTTATTCCAGTGGGTTCCACATCACAAGCACTTCTCTAGACTTGGGAGCCAGTGTCAACCTCCAACCCTTAATGGTGCACCAGTAATTGCAACTTGTAGAGTCCCCCACAACCCACGGGCACTAGTTCCTACAAGAGGGGAGAGGAGGGCCCTAGTGAAGAGAGTGGGGAGAGGAGGAAAAGGAAATGTAATGATACTTGAACGAAGAGCATAGACAAGAATAGTGTGATGTGTGAGTGTCACGTGGACAGGCCCATTATCGGACTGAATGAGGAGGTCGTAAAAGTGATCCAGGGACATGGGATTGAGATTTGGTTTGAGCCGATTAGGGGGTACAACCTGGCAATGTGTAGGGAGTTTTATAAGAGGTTGAATGCTGTAGATGAGGACCTTTGCATACTCAAGAGCAATGTGAGGGGGGAAGGTCTTTGAGATTACCCTAGACTTGATTACGACTTTCATGAAGTAATAGAGGCCTCCTCCCAATATCCTAATGTATCAACACAATGTCCAAGAGAAAAAATCACTCCCTGAGTATTTGTAGTTGGCATATGAGCACCCGACTCAATTCAAAGGGACAATTCAAGTCAGGGGCCTCAAGCACTCATACGGGGTCATGAACCAGGTCTTGCACTACAATTTGATTCCCTAGGGTGCGGAGAAGAACCTAAATGTGGAGAAGCTCGCCCACCTCCACGCATTTAAGACTGGGAAGAGAATGGATGTGGCTTTTATTGATCTGGTAGTTCATGAAGGAGTTTGCTTATGCTAGAAAGCCGATGGCGAATCTCCCATTCACCAATCTAGTTCCGAGGATGTGCTATCATAGTAAGGTCAAGGCCTATGTCTCCAATGTGTTACTACCTCCTAAATTTGGACTTATCGAGAAATACAATAGCAGTAAGAGGAGAGTGAAGAGTAGGAGCAAGAGAGCTAGAGCCCCTAGACTTGAGCCATCTGCTGCTGGGAGTTCCTCCTCTGCCCCTCCCCGCACAGTTGCACAGTGCTTAGATGCCTTGGAGGGGATTATGCTTGCTTTTCATTGATGATGACCAGGATTTTTTAGCACACATTCTTGGGAGTGCCGATCCCCGGTAGACCCTCTACGTCTACCCCATGGCTTCTACTATTGTCGAGGTAGAGGGTTCCGACGACGACAACTCTATTGATGAGGGGGAGAGTGACGAGGATGATGATGGAGATGAGGAAGATGAGTAGGATGTTTTTGTCTTTGTTTTTTGTGGTTTTAGTTGTTGCACATAAAGGACTAGAATTGTTGGCCTAGTAGAAGAGTCTCTAGGTTTTTAAGGCCATTTTGTTTTGAAATCTAAAACCTTGTACTGAACTTTTGGAAGTAATGAATGAAAAGAACCACATTTGTTTTTTTTCATCTTACCCCAAGTCATTAATTTAATTGCATTGTGATTTTTGTATTTTGATTGTTTGGTGAATTACCTTGCATGAGTGGATTGTTTAATTTTATGCTTTGTGGTTTTAAAATAAATTTTGCTAGGGACTAGCAAAACTCAAGTTGGAGGGTGTGATTAGCACCAAATATTGCATGTCATGTATCTCTTTGCACCCTTTTATACTTGCATTTGTGGCGAAAATGGAAGAAAATGCATTTATTCTAACAATTAATGGAGTTTTGTGTGATTGTAGGAAATGAGTGGGTAATGACGTGTGTTACGCTTCCATCATAGTGCTTAAAGACAATGGAGAAGAAGGAGAGGCTTAATGGGCGGCTCGGAAGGTCAAGAAACCAAGAAAATGGCAAATTAAGTGAAAACCTACCAGTAGGTTTGGTCATAGTTCTACCAGTTGATTTTGTCCACTGGAAATCTTAAAACTGCTATCTCTGCCAAAACCTACCGGTAGGTTTTGTCACATTCTACTTGTTAGTTTTGCCCA